TAAAAATAATTATGCATGATCATGCTCCATCCTTATTACACTACTTACATCTTCTTATTGAATTCATAAGTTATCAAATCATATAGGATTAGTCCATGTGACAAAATTAGCCTCACTCTCTAATTGTGAGGAGTGACTCGACCAAGGCCCAATAATTACTTTCGGACCATAGATTCCTCCATTTTGAATTCATAAGGTATTAATTTGCCCAATCGATGATAATCAAGAAATAAAGCACTAAGATCTCACGATGCTGGTGAGTACCACATGGATTTCAATAACACCCTACTCTCTTGAGTAAACTCCCACCCATTTGTGACCACACAATATACTCATGTAACTCAATGACATGCCATATATGCAAACTTCATTAACTTATCTCATAATCAAGCGCATAGTACCGAGATAAGGATAAATAACCAATATTTAAATTTCATGCCAATATTATAAGTGTGTGCTTAATGACATATCAGTATCATGTTCAATAATAATAATGCTTAACATTATGTCATAGTTATTGATTTACTTTAACACATATCTATATCATCATGCTCATTCATTAATCATACTCAATAAAAGCCATTGCCTATAAATCCTTCTTCATGTGCTCAATTGCCATATTACTTCAACTCAATCATGTTAAACCACTCATGCCATCTCTGCTTATTAACACAACACCTCCATATGACATACAACTCATATCAATCTTTTCATGACAAAGAACCACATAATCATTTTTTCATACTCAATGGTCATATCCAATCACATAATCATCAACAAGTCATATTTGTCAATGAAGTCTTATATTGCTCAATATGTGATCAATATTACATTCATCAAGCCATATTTTGCATTTGCATTTTCTATAACTTACCATAAAACCATTTATTTACAAACCAACACTCCAAACATGTGATTTACCTACTTGCACAATTACAAGCTCCAACCATGTCATAACCTTTCATAACAAAATTTATCAGGCTTATATATACAGACACAAACATATACAAGAATTTAACTCTCAATTACCTCAACTCTTGGGTTACCACCCCAAGAGTACAATTTGGATTCTAGAAGAGCTTCCAAATGCACAAATAGCTCTAAGAGTAGTCAATCTACAATTAGAATAATAAATCATCATCATTAATTACTAATTATCATTAATTAGCTCTTAATTACAATTAATGCCAAAGGTCATAATTAGCAATATTAACAACAAACAATCCCACTTTTAACTTTCATTAGCTTACTTAACTATCATTAAACTCAATAAACACTGTTAACCATTGTATTAGCTTATACTTGGCTAATTAATGTTAGGATTAATCTTAAGCTAATCATTAACTACTCTAATCACTGTCATTAGCCTAACGAATTATTAAAAACATAAATAATCATTAAAAGACTTTATTAAAGTCATATAGATGGCTGTAACTTGGTCCTAGATTCAGACCATCACTCTTCAACCTATAAACTTGCAGAAAAATGCATGAATAGTATAGGAGAAGATTAGAGAAAACTTGCTCAATGGTTTAGAGGCTTAAAAACACTCCAAATAAGAACCAAAATGAAACCCTAGCAAAATAGTTGTGCCTTCCTCTTAGTTGTCACACAAACTCTCCCAAATTTTGTCATTTTGAATGACAAAATTAACTTTTTGAATTTTTGCTATGCTTATCGCAATGAATTGTACTTCTTGCCATAGTGGACAACCCAAAATGGGTAGCATCACTTAAGCTTAATAATTTAGGCCATAGTGGCCTAATTACTCCTAAGGTTTGATTTTAACCCTTATGTAAAGTCTAATGAATCCAAATGGCTACCAAACTCCCTAATTAACCCCCAATTACTTTAATTAACTAATTAAAACCTCAATTAATTCAACTAATCCTTAAAGAAAATTTTAGGATTTCACTATGAGTGCTTCCTCATCATAATACTCTAAAAATACCTTTATCAACTTAACCTAAATTATTAATTTGTCAATGGTTGTTGCATGTGCTTTGAACTTAGGCTTCAAAGGTCTCACATTAAGGTTGTGGTCATATTGCATTCATGGTCACCAGTTAATGCTTGAAAGTAGTCTTCCTCACTTGAGAGCTTTACTATAAAGAATCCATGACCAATGTCAATCAACTTGATAATACCTCTTTTCTCCGATAAGGATTGCAATATAGCTTCCTAAAGCTTTGAAACCCACATTTCTTCCTAAAGTTTCACTATAACAATTTCCTCTATGCTTAAAGCCTCTTCTTGACTTTGTTAGAAAACACAAAAGTAGGAAAGCTTTTTTTTTTTTAGGGCCTCTAATGGTCTTGCAATCTAATTTATCACCATCTTGCTCTTTATCCTTATAAGATTGATGTGGCTTTACTTTATCAAAATCTTCAATCTCATCTTCCTTGAAACCATCATCAGATTGGTCTTCCTATCCAAAGACTCCCTTTAGTTTATTAGCAAAAGAAGGTCTTTTATGATAAACATTAGTTTCTTTAGCACCCAGCTATGGCTAATAACCCTGGAGAATATTATTATTATCACCTTTCTCTCCATTTTTAAGCTTTTTCAAACTTTGTGTGAGTTGATCCACTTCCTCCCTAGAGTAAGGACACACAGGAAGCGGAGGCAAATTATTTGCAACTAGCTTCTATTTGAATTTTTAACGAAGGTTAAGGGTCATTTTTTCCTTTTAACTTTACTCAAAAGGTCATTGGGCACTATAAACTCAACTATAAGTCAATTTTGTTCCTCAACATATGAAATTTGTTAACATGGTGCCCCTAACATTAACTCACCAGATTTTCATCTGTTTTAGTTTATAGGTCCCACCATTTTTATATTTTTATAATAAAATATTGTGTGGTGGTCCCTACCATCTCTTTCCTCTTCCCTCTCTACTTCTATTCTTCTCTCCTCCCTACTTTCTCTCTCTCTCTCTTTAAGTGAACTAGTTGACCATAGCTTCATCAAGACCTAACCTCTCCTTGTTCACTATCTTTTGGAAGCTTGACTGCAATGTAGATTCCTACCCCACTAAGAACTTTGAGTATAGGAGTAATAAGGTAGACCTAGTGTTCTCACTGAGTTCATTGATCCTCCTATTGATGGCCTATGATGTATGATAAAGCAAATGTTTAAATCATCAATTAATATATATTATATAGAATCAATAGGAAACTTAACTATTTATAAACCATGACCATAACATATGAAAAAACATTTCCAATTAGTGTTTAACTTTTTATAGAATGGTCATTTTTGAAACCTATCTCATGCTCTATAAAGTATGGATATTGCTATGTGCTTGGCATGCTGAAAAATGGCAGGTTTCGTGTCGAAAGAAAACAAGGGAAGAGAAGTTGATAAGGGTGAAAGGATTCATAAGCAAAGGGTAAGGTTGAGGTGGTTAATGTGGTCGACAAGAGGATTGGAAGGCATAAAGGGAGAGGAGGAAGGAGGGACATAAAGGGGGGAATGAATGGGGTCAAACAAAATAGGAGTGATGCGGTTAAGGCTGGGGAAGGGAGCAATGGGCAGTAGGGTTAAGGTTGCAATCAACAGCTTTCTCTTGCTTATGGGCGTTTTAGTAACCACTGAAAGCTTAAGAGGTGCAAAACTTGTAGGGGCAATAACAACATGGAAAAATGCAAGGAAAAGAAGGCTAAGACATCTTGGACTTGCGGAGGGTCCTGGATCTATGGTTGTTCTGACTTCTCCAATGAAGTTAAGCATGTCATTTAGGTTAGTGGTTTCGATGAAGTTGCTATAAACCAATTTATGTAGAGAGAACGAAGGTAGTGACGAGAGAGGGGATAGAAGTAGAGAGGGAGGCAAAAAGAGGAGGCATGGCTTACATAATATTGTGTCATGAAAATATAAAAATGGTGGGACCCACATACTAAAACAAACAAAAATCTAGAAAGTAAATGTTAGGGGCACTTTGTTAACAAATTTCATATGTTAAAGGACAAAATTGACCCATAATTTAATTTAAAATGTCCAGTGACCCTTCAGGTAAAATTGAAGGACCAAAATTACCCTCAAGTCCTTAACCCTTTGAGCTACTAACCAAAGGTCTTTGACCTAAGATCATCGAACTAATGCCAATGCAAAGAAGTTGATCACATTCCAATAGCCCAAAATGACTAGAAAATGAACTTACATGTAACATTCTCTCTCCTCAAAAAGTCTCTTAGCACCATTTTTTAAGCCCTAGGACAGGTTAAGGATGGGTTTAGGACCTTTGAGAGTGGTTTTGGGTCAAAAAGAGTAAAAACAAAGCAAGATCAAATAAGAGTTGCAAATAGGATGCCTCCATTACAGATATGGCCTCTAGATAAGAGGTCAGACAGAATGGGGGTCATCATGGATAAGGACTGCCTTTTTGCTGATGTTCGGTGTCAGACGATGAAGGCCATACGACCAGCGCCGAAAATAGCTTTCTACAATAGGGGCATTTTAATCAAAACAATATTAGTTAGGTCATTTTGCCGAGTCCCTCAAGTCAAGCGGCAAGTCAGAGAGGTCGAATGCAAAGAGAGCAGCTCCAAGGGTCTAGAAGCGATTTAGAGCGGTTCTCAAGCAATTTGATTAGGCTAGGCCTGGAACTGAGATAAAGTTCATTCCTTCCCTATAATCTGTTTCCCTCTCCCCTGGTCTAGATTGCCCCTGTTGCTACTGTATCTATGGTTTGAGACTCGAATTTGATGAGGCTAGGTCTGGAACTGACAGAGAATGGGTGCTAACAGATAATTAAATCACAATTAACATTGTTTGATTTAATTTACTGGTGAAAATAGGAAAACAAGTCATTACGTCTCCATGTCTGCACGGCTGGTACAATTTTTCCAAAGAACAAAAGTCTGATTTTCTTTTATTAAAAGAATGTGTTTTTTCCCCGCCAAACTTTAATCCAAGAACAAATAGATCATTTATGTAGAGAGAGAAAGAGAGAGAGAGAGAGAGATTTAAGCCTCAAGTAATTTATTCAGACACGGAGCTATAACCAACAACTAAGAACTAGACATAGCCATTTGGAAGTGAGATTGACATGGTCACCGTATTTGATTTATATACATGTAGAATACAATCTGCAACGAGCCGAAAATCAAATAGCTACATGAAGCAAATAACATGTAACTTACAAAATAAGTACTCTGCTTCTTGCTATGGACGTTTAATATTCACAAACCTTCAAATTGGAACCGCAACCCAGAACGTCCAAAACCTCTTACTCTCCCGACCAAACAGAGACCCAAGCGAAAGCATCTTTGATTGCAATCACAGACCCAATTGACGAATTATGGAGCGAAGGTGAGAGGAAAATGAGAGGAAACATTCCCCAGATCCACTAATAGCAGCGGCACGATGGGGCAAAATAAGCCCCTTCTAAACCAATGTATGGCCTTCATACCTTAAGAACTCAGACCAAATTTCTATTTTGCAGAGTACCAGTTTTGAGCACACTTTGCATCAACAGCGAGGTCAACTTGAAGAATATTCTTGCCATCAAAGGGTTTGGACATGCAGTCAACAACTATAGCCTTTGCAATCTCAGCTGATTCTGTTGGCCCTTCAAGTATGACTTCGTCATGAACCTGCACCACGCAATCATATAAAAAATCTTGAATAGCAGATAGCAGGAAATATACGAAACCAGCAACTTGCAATTTGAAATAGCCTCAACATCAGATGACAGCAGTTGAAAAAGTTCATAGGAATTTGCAACGAGTCATGGGATTATCATGCCAAAGTCCCATGGGCCACATCGAAACCATCCTTGATAAGAAGCTGAATGCTCATCATGTTCACGTACCGATAGTCTAATAATGATAAAATCTAGGTTACTCGGGAGAAAGAAAAATGTTTAGAGGAAAACACTGTCAGAAAACAGGATTTGTTTAGTTACCAAGTTTGTCAAGTATACATAAAACAAAAACTGACCAGAGCTAAACACAAGTCAAAAGAAGTTTGAACTATGTAGCTTTGCAATCTATATAAGTTTCTGTGAGAAAAGAGACGATTTTTGGTGTAAAATACTATATTTTCATTCATCACAGTGATTCACTATTTATACAAGGACAAACAGCTGTAAAGAAAATATAATTGCCTAATCCAAGCCAATAAATCAGCAAATAATAATCAGACAATTAAATCTAATTCTAACAGTCGAAAAGCAGGTAATTGGGGATTACAATCAAGTAGAAATCAGAGTGAAAAAGAGAGGCAGTAATTATCGGGTTTTTCCATACTCCCCCTCAAGTTGGACTGTATATGTTGACCATATCCAACTTGTCAACAAACTTCTCAAAAACTTCTTTGTACAGTCCCTTAGTAAAGATGTCTGCCGTTTGATCCCGTGTGGGCATATGTGTGAGTGCTATAAGACCCCCTTCAATCTTTTCTTTAATAAAGTGTTTATCCACTTCTACATGTTTAGTCCTATGATGTTGCACTGGATTGTGCGAGATGTCTATAGCAGCTTTGCTATCGGTATATAAGCTCATGGGAAATTCTATCTTCATCTTCAGCTCTTCTAATATCCTTTTTACCCATATTACTTTACATATGCCATGAGCCACAGCTTTAAACTCTGCCTCCGCAATACTCCTTGCAACTACGTTCTGCTTCTTGCTTCTCCAAGTTACAAGGTTACCCCACACATATGTGCAATATTCTGACATACACCTCCTATCACCATGTGCACCTGCCCAATCTGCATCAGTAAAGATTTCCACATTTTTCTTTTTGTCTTCTAGTATAGTATTTCTTTACCAAGTGTGCCTTTCAAGTACTGTATGATCTTATAGACTGCTTTGAGATGCTTTTCTTTTCAAGCATGTGAATGTTGACTTGCTATGCTAACTGCAAAAGCAATGTCTGGTCTAGTATGGGAAAGATAGATAAATTTCCCAACTAGTCTTTGGTATCTCCCTTTGCCAACATCTTTTCCGTCATTTTCTTCTTCCTCCTCTTCCTCCTCCTCATCTTCTTCCTTATCTCTGTCATCTTTCTTCTTCTTCTTCTTCTTTGTTGTGGTTTCTATAGGAGTTGTGCTAGATTTACACCCCAACATTCTTGTTGCTTTTAAAAGGTCTAGAATATACTTCCTTCGAGATATATATATATATCCCTTTCTTGGATTGTGCTACCTCTATACCCAAGAAGTATTTCATTTCTCCCAAATCTTTCACCTGGACAGCTTTGGCTAGTGACTTCTTTATTTTCTCCATTTCTTCATGATCATCTCCTGTAAGAACAATATCATCCACATATACACTCAGAATGGTTGTCTTTGTTCCCCTATGTTTGAAGAACAAAGTATGATCACTTTAGCCTTGGACAAAACCCTTCTCTTGTAAGCACTTGTGTGAACCTTTCAAGCCAAGCACGTGGTAACTGTTTCAATCCATACAAAAACTTCTTCAGTTTACACACCAGATTCCTTGTAGTGGGGAATCCAAGTGGTAGTTTCATATATACCTCCTTTAAATCTCCATTAAGGAAAGCATTCTTCATATCTAGCTGATATAGGGGCCAGTCGAGATTAGCAGCTAAAGAGATTAGAATTCTTACTATATTCAGCTTGGCTACGGGTACAAATGTCTTTATATAATCTGTCCCATAGATTTGAGAGAAGCCTTTTGCAACAAGACGGGCTTCGAATTTTTCAACCATACCATTTGCTTTGCATTTAACAGTGAACACCCACTTGCATCCTACAGCCTTCTTTCCTTGCAGTACTTTTGCCTCTTCCCATGTACAGTTTAGCCTAAGAGCATCCATTTCTTCCCTAACAGCTTATTTCCATTCTGGGATCTTCAAGGCCTCTTCCATACATGTTGGAATTTTTATGCTAGCCAGATTAGTCAAAAAGGCTAAATAACATGGTCATAAGGCTTTGTAGGATACAAACCATTCAATTGGATGTTTGGTGCAACATCTGGGCTTCTTCCTCAATGCAATAGGGAGATCTTCTTCTATCTCATCTAGCTGACCATCATTCTCAATAACTTTTTCTGTAGATTCAGGGATTGTCATCGGTTCAGATTCATAGGGTGTTTCAAGAACTTGAGTCTTATTCCTTGATGCTTTCTTCCAAATGTAGTATTGTTAAAGTGTTTGTTTTCTCCCCTTTAGATTGATCTTCTTTTGTCTTAGGAACACTCTTAGGTGGTAGTTCAGGGTTAGATTCAAGTTCAAATGTTGGCTCAAAGGGAAGTTCAAACGGTGGATCATAGAGTAGTTCCATTTCAGATTGGCAAGACAGAGAGGGCAACAAGGTTTCTTCCATGGGCTCTAATTCACTCAAACTCTCCCCCTAAGTTGGAGACTTGGGATAAAAGGACTCTTCTTCATGAAAGGTGACGTCACAACTAACAAAGACTTTTTCAGTAATAGGGTTATGGCATTTACAGCCTTTTTGAGAGGTAGAATATCCAAGGAAAATACATTTGATGGCACAAGGATTGAGCTTATTACTGTGATGAATGTGAACAAACAAAGTGCACCTAAAGACTCACAAGGGAAGATTATTTTCAAGGTAAGGGTTAGACTGAGTGGTATGGAGGACAAGAGGAGATTGGAACGATAGTATACAGTTAGGCATTCTATTGATGAGGTGGGTGGCAATAAGAATAGCATCGCCCCAATAAAATTTTGGCACATTATGAGTGATGAGGAGAGCTTTGGCAACATTTAGGATATGATGGTTTTTTCTTTCAGCAATCCCATTTTGTTAGGGGCTATGAGCACATGTGCTTCTATGAACAATACCATTTTGTTGAAGGAAGGTACTGAGGGAACTTGGAATGTTGGGACATTAAATTGTAAATCTGTAGAGGTTGTAGGGGATATGATTCAAAGGAAAATCAATATCCTTTGCTTGCAAGAAACAAAATGGCGTGGAGAAAGAGCTAAGGATATTCAAGGTTTCAAACTTTGGTATACAGGAAAAGTAAGTGCACGCAATGGAGTAGGCATCATTATAGATAAGGAGTGGAAGAAGAACGTTGTAGAAGTTAGCAGAATTGGAGACAGAATTATTTCTTTAAAAATGATAATTGGACGTGAGACTGTTAATATTGTTAGCGCTTATGCGCCGCAAGTCGGGACAGAAGCCAGTCTTAAGGAATTATTTTGGGAGGATCTGGAGGGGTTGATTCGACACATACCACAGAGTGAAAAGATTTTTATTGGAGGAGACTTTAATGCGCATGTCGGGAGGGAAGCTGGTCAGTATGCGAGGGTGCATGGTGGTTTTGGTTTTGGAGAGCTAAACAATGAAGGGCAAACTCTTCTTGATTTCTCATTGGCATATGATTTTAAAATTGCCAACACTTGTTTCAAGAAGAGAGATGAGCATCTCATCACTTACAAAAGTGGAGCCTCAAGGTCGCAGATTGATTTTCTTTTGGTTAGGAACACAGATAGAAAACTTTGTAAAAATTGTAAGGTGATCCCTGGAGATGCTGTAACGACACAACACAGGGTCCTAGTCCTTGATGTGTGTATTATGAGTAAAATCCAAAAACGTCGACAAGTAGTAACACCAAGGATTAGGTGGTGGCAATTAAAAGGTGAGAAGCAAGATATTTTCAAGCAAAATCTTTTGGATAAAGGAATTTGGGATTCTCAGGGAAGTGCTAACATCATATGGGAGGATATGGCTAAAAAGATACGGGAGGTTGCAAAAGTAGTTTTGGGAGAATCGAAAGGTTCTGGTCCGAGAGATAAGGAGTCTTGGTGGTGGAATAATAGTGTACAGGACAAAATCAAGTATAAGAAGAACTGTTTTAAAGCCATACATTTGTGTAACAATGAGGAAAATTGGGAGAGGTACCGTATGGCTAAGAAGGAAACTAAGAGAGCTGTGGGTGAAGCTCGTTCCAAAGCTTTTGAAGAATTTTATAAGAACCTTGAGACGAAGGAAGGAGAGCAAAATATTTATAAGATTGCCAAGAGTAGGGAAAGAAAATCAAGAGATCTAGAACAGGTAAGGTGTATTAAGGATGAAGAGGGAAGAATTTTAGTTACAGATGATGAAATTAAAAATAGATGGGAGACTTATTTTTCTAAACTTTTCAATGATGGAGAGGATTCATCTAGTAACTTGGAGGATTTAGTAACTGGTGAAGGAGAACAAAATTTGTCATTCTATCGAAAAATACGTGATAAGGAGGTAAAGGAAGCTCTTAAGAAAATGGCAAATGGTAGAGCTAACGGACCTGATTGTATATCTATCGAAGCGTGGAAATGTTTAGGTGAAGAAGGGGTGAGATGGTTAACTAAGTTATTTAATGTGATTTTACGGTCCAAGAAAATGCCTGATGAGTGGAGGAGAAGTACATTAATTCCTATTTATAAAAATAAAGGAGATATTCAGAATTGTACTAACTATAGAGGGATTAAACTCATGAGCCACACAATGAAATTGTGGGAGAAAGTAATTGAGCACAGGTTGAGATTGGAGACAAGTATTTCTGAGAATCAATTTGGTTTTATGCCAGGTAGATCAACTACAGAGGCGATTTATCTACTAAGGGGATTAATGGAAAAGTATCGTTGTAAAGATAAAGATCTACACATGGTTTTTATT